GGGGGGGGGGGGGTTTCTTCTTGTCAGTATTTTTTCTCTCTGACAGTAATAATATACTAGAGTATTAATATATATGTATATATATATATATATGTATATATATATATATATGTACAAAAATAATACATGCGTTGCTTAACATTATCGCCCAATCTTACATGAGTGATTTTGTTGCCCATGGTCTTGTTGCTAAGGTTGACGGTCTTGTCTGCTCATGCCTTCATGGCCTTCTTGTCCACGGAACATTCATATTACTAACACCACATTCCCAATATCTACTTACCCTATCCCTACCCCTACCCCCCACTTACTTCCAGAATGCATATAGAACTAGAGTCAGACAAAGACAAAGACAGGGCCATATCAATGTCATTGCCGCGTCTCCTTCTTCTCTTCTTCTGTTGTCTCGTCCTCTTACGAGTATCATATCTCCCCCCACCGGATCTATTCCCTGACCAAGGGAAACATTGACAAGGATGTCCATGAAGCACCTTGTGTGCCGTGATAAGCCCATGTCTACTACTGTGCAACTGTATATCACGCCATGTGTGTGACCATTGCGGGGGCGCAGGTATTCAGGTCGAGAGTGCATTGCATAGTTTCCATGTTTTCCCCAACAATAGGACTGAATGCATGGTTTGTATCATGGGACACATGAATCACGCAGCGCAGGTCCCCTGTCTATGCCTTTCTCTGCCTGAGCATCTATCCTGTCCCTTCCATCCTCCTATTGGGAGACTATGAATAGAACATGCGGAAGCAGGGCAGAAGCAATCTAGGGGGCCGATATATATCATATATATGTTACTCCTCATCACTATCGAGGCAGAGGGTAACGACTCATACATATATGCTGGCGACTAGTGCCTTTACTACTATATCGCTTCCATCTTACCACCACCACCACCTGCGTAGATAACCTTGTCACTCAATCTCACTGCTCACCACCCTTAGGTGGACTCGCCATCCAACACCTTGCCGTTGACCTCCTCGTCCGCTGACTTTTCCACTGACTTTCCCACTGACTTGTCCTCTCTATTGGCCTCTTCCGACGCAATCCTGTAGAGTTCATTGACATTGAACCTCTTGAACGACTCCCACTCATCACCCTCGACGACTGATACTCCGCAAAACATCTGAACGTGTCAGTTGAGACAGTGAGAGAGAGAGATAGAGAAAGGGGGCGAGAAAGGAGAAAGATGTACCTGATAAATCTCCACAATGATAACCTTGTCCGGCTTTCCCAGATTAACCTTGTGTTCAGGCTTCACCAGCCCAGCAATCTTTTTGATTATGTCACCCGACTTGAAAGTCGAGTGATTACGGGCTGTAGGACGAATGGCGTACTTTTGGCCAAGTTAGCAAACGCAGGATACTTGCTTGGTACTATGAGAAGATTCAAGAGAATAAAGGGGGGCAGCTTGAAGAAGAGACCGAAAAAAAAAGGAGTCGAGTCAAGTTGAGCCAAGTCAAATCAAGTCGAGTCAAGATACCGAAACATACCGTATAAGCTTCGCCATCATGACGAGTCTTGGCCGCAGCGGTAGAATCAGCATCGGAAGCGGCGTCGTCGCCCTCCACCAGCCCAAGGTGATCACCAATGACCGCCCTGGCAACCTTGAGGATGCCGTTCTCCGATGCCTTGTCCATCTTCTCCACCGGCGTCAACCGGTTGATGTACCTCGTCTTCCGCTTGAGAATGTCCCTGCAGGCCCCGGCGTCGCGACAGATCTCCCTGACGAGGTGCTTCGGGTCGACGGGCGCCATGGTCTTGACGAAGAGGAGGCACTCGACGTCCGCGGGGATGATTGTGAATATCTTGCGCGTCTTGGGCTTCTCCTTCTCCCTCTTCATCTCGTCCATCTCTCTGGCGATGGAGGCCTCGATGTCGCCTCCTCCTCCACCTTCTCCACCTTCATCTTCATCGACAGCAGCATCGTCATCACCGCTTGTCCTCTTTATACCGTAGAGTTTCTCTCCATACTATTGTGCCATTTTTTTTCTTTGTCAGCATCATTGCTAACACAAACCTACCTCTGGTGTGTATCCCGGAGGAAGAAAGAAGAGAAAAGGGGGTTAAAAAAAGGGGGGGAAAACTTTACCTCCTCACACAATTCATTCAATTCTCGAATAGCCTTGCCCTTCATACCCCTCGCAAACGTAACCCACATCCCCTGATCCCCAATCTCGAGAGTCTTCCCCATCGCTGTCCTCTCACCTAACTTGGCTTGCTGGTGTGGAGTTCTCCATTTACCACCACCGCCACCCTATACATTTTTTTTTCGGGATCGTCAGAGAGTTCAGCACACTGGTCACTGGTTCTCGTCTCGCCTACTCGCCTCGCTTCGTCTTGTCTTGGGACTTGCCTTCGTACAAAGCCAACCTCTTCAATTGTGTGTATGAGACGTTGCAAACCAATCGCGTCCGTGAATGAACATCGTCTGCAAAAAAAAAAAGAAGAGAAAAGAAAAGAAAAGAAAAACATACCTTGCTCCTCTTGGGTCCTGATCCTCTGTCACCGCCGGGTCCCTGCTTGCGTTTGACGTCTCCCATCGTTTTTTTTTCTTCTTTTTCTTTCTATCCAATCTAGGTGTACCAGAACTTTTGTCGCCGATCTGAAAAGCACAAGGACAGATGTGGTTTGTAAATGGTGCTGGTTGACTCGATCGATGGAATGAGTGTAGAGATTAAAACAAAGAGCCAGTTGAAAGCAAGTGAAAGCGGGAGAAAAAGCTGGTTCTCGCTCGACCTTGGACCTTGGAAGGCTACATTTAGATCTTTTAAGTGGGGCATATCATCATCCACCCTCATATACCCGCTCAGTGGCTACATGCGAGTATTGTGCACAGGTAATCCTCCAGTAGAAACAATCATTAACGGTCTTGTTTAAAAGATGAGGAAGAAGAAGGAGAAGGAGAAGACAATAAATCGAGTGTGTTATATCAAGGTGCGTCATCAAGCTCATGAATTCCTTTGAAAAGTGGTGTTTTACCAATCCCAAACGCCATTCATTAAATACTCTTCGTCAAAACATACATGAACATGTCCCATCACATCAAACTGTCCCCCTATTAGATCCTCCTCTAACCTCTAAAGATGGTCCTCGTAAAAAAACTTTCTAACAACATCTACTGGTGCTCCTTGGAGGCCTTGGCAGCTTCGGTGGCCTGCGTCGTCATCAGGAGAGCACGCGGGGCGTCCTTCTTGGGGACGTGAAGCTCGACCAGCTGGAGCTTGTCGGCAGCGTTAAAGGTCGGGTCGGTCAGGAGCTGGTCAAGCTCGTCCTTTGTCTTGATCGAGTACTTCCTAGCCTTGTCGGCGCCGCCAAAGGCATCGACCAGAGCCTGGTGGTCCCATGCGCCAATGTCGTTGTATTCGGCGTCCATGCCGTGGATGAAGCGCTCAATCGTGTAACCCTCGTTGCAGAGGACGAATCTATCGAGAGTAGGGAAGCGTCAGTATATTACAGGTCTATCTCCGTGCATGGATCCGCGCGTGTGTATACTCACAGGATGGGCTTCAGGTCGCGGCGGATCATGGTGCTGACTTCCTGAGCCGTAAGCTGGAAGGAACCGTCACCGACAAAGAGGATGGTCCTCCTGTCGGCGCCGAGATCCTTGACAGCCAGAGCGGCACCCTGGCAGGCACCGACGGACCAACCAATGCTGCCCCAGAGGACCTGGGTGAGGCAGGTGACTCCCGGGGGGAACTTGGTGTCCCAGATACCGAAACTCGAAGTACCAGTCTCGGTGACGACGACGTCGTTCTCCCGGAGGAATTCGCCGACGCGGGGCCACAGCCAGGCCTGGGTGATGACGTCGGAGCTGTCACGGTACTTGCTGGCCTCGTTGGAGGGCACGGGGCTGGGGTTGATGGTGAGCTCGGACGGGTTGATCTGGCTGGCGAGCTTGCGGAGGACGCCCTTCATCCTCACGCCGGGGTAGGACGAGTACCTGACCTCGCAGTAGTCGCTGTGGAAGTCGATGGTCTGGAGCTGCGTGGTGCGGTAGGAGAAGCCGGTGGTGTTGAAGTCGCTCTTGAGGGCGCCGATGCTCAGGATGAGATCAGAAGCCTCGACGGCCTCCTGAACTTCGGGAAGGGAGCCGTTTCCGGCATAGACACCACCGTAGCTGGGGTGGGTCTCGTTGATGGCGCCCTTGCCCATGGGGGTGACGAAGACGGGCAGCTGCGTCTTCTCGATGATGGCGTGGACCTCGTCGAGGACGTTGTGGCGGATGGCGCAGGCATCGATCAGCATGATGGGTTTCTTGGCGGCGCGGAGGTACTTGAGGACGACGTCGACGACGTACTCCTCCTTGGCGGGGTCGTTCTCGGGAGGTGTCAGGTCGAGCGGGGTGTCGAGCCTGGCACCCTCGACCTTGGCCTGGACCATGTCGGCAGGGAGCATGATGTAGACGGGGCGGGACTTGACGAGACACTCGCGCAGAGCATGATCAACCTGGTTGGCAATATACGAGGGGTCCTCGAGCTTGGCCACGTCGACCGAGATCTGGGCATTCATGTTGGCAAAGACGTTGAAGTCGCCGTTGCCTAAGGTGTGGTGCAGGAGGCGACCGTTCCGCTGCGACTCAGTCGAGGGGCAGCCGACGATGTGGACGACGGGAATCATCTCGGAGTAGGCGCCGGCCATTCCGTTGATGGCCGAGAGCTCACCGACACCAAAGGTGGTGATGATGGCGGCAATCTTGTTGACACGGGCGTATCCATCGGCAGCGTAAGCTGTGGTGTGCGTGTTGTGTCAGTCATTGACTCAAATCCCACGACATGGCTCAATCCAAAGACGGATTGCGAATATACGGTTCAACTCACCAGCATTGAGCTCGTTGACGCTGCCAACCCAGTTCAGACCACATCCTTGGAGGTAGTCAAGAGCGGCGAGGTTGTAGTCACCGGGAAGACCGTGAACGGAACGGACGCCCACCTCGTAGAGACGTCGGTAGAGATACTCGACGGCGTTGACGGGCTTTTTAAGGCCCTCGAGACGAATATCGGCCATGATGTGATGGGTGAAGAAGAAAAAGAGTTGTTCTTGTCCTTTACTGTAAAGTACTTGAGGGGAAGGGTGAGAAGGTTGAGAGAGAAGTTGTTGTCGTTTGTGTGTTGTGATGTCACAGAGGAAACGAGAGAGAAGGAGCAGAGGGGGGGGAGATGATGAGGGGTCAAGAGCTTTTTTATATCTCGGTCACAGCAACAAAAACCAAAGCGATAAAGAAAAAAAAGATTCAGAGGTTCTTATTTTTTATTTTATTTTTTATTTTGGGTTTCATTAAAAAAAATTGGGGAAAGATTGTATGGCACTTTGATGCGTGCGTGGGGTCCGAAACTGCCGATTCCTGGCGTGACACTTACATGTGTACGAGTACAGACATCATCAATATGAGAGACATACTATGCAATATTCCAGCCAGAGCTTGCTTCTGCTACTCCACCAAGATGGAGCCCACGAACAAGAGCCCCGAACAAGGACTTGCCTACGACCGGACTGGACCGGACGGACCCTTTGACAACTCACAAGAGACCCAGGAGACTTTTGATGTCGGTGGCCGCCAGATCTATTGGGCCGAAAGCGTCCGATCATGTCACGCCAGTTTCCGCGGCCATTGCGGCGCTACTATGAAGCAGTCTATTTTGATATCCGTACTTACTAATATATGGAGTATACGAGCATGAACATATCCTTACTAGAGTACTAGTACATTTACGGCGGCACAACTACCCGTACATGCCCACCGCCCTCGCCCGATTCACGAGATGGGACGAGAACTAGGAAAGTAGAATCGGACCTATTCATTTATGCGAACTGGGGGTCGGCACAGAATCTCGCCCCCCCAGCGGCGTTTGGCAATGTCGGAAAGGAGGGAAAGAGAGAGAGAGAGAGAGAATGGTACGGGAGTCATACAGAGGGGTAACTGCTTCCTTCTACTAGAGTACTAACTCGATTGCGGCGCGACCTGCGGGCAAACCTGCACTGCTGCAGCCAACGGGATCCAAAGTCTGGAACCCTTGGGCCTTTGGGCACGAGTTGATACTTCTACGAGTACTCCGTACTTCTACGAGTAGTAATAGTATCAAGTATTACCACTGCAGCCTACATGTCTGCGCCCTAGTGCGTCTGCAGGAATTGTCGCCCGTTCCGACCTGCAGCGCAAGCTCCAGATCCCATTGACAGCGGCTACGCCGGCAACCGGCGAGAGACGGATTTAGCCATCGGAAGAGGCAGACGGTACCATGATGATGTGTCAGAGAGGAGACTTCCCCCCATCTTTCCTTGCGTTCCTTCTTTAGAGTCTATTATTATTACATCGTAGTTGTTGGGAGGGTGTGTCGCGCTCCTTAATCCCGTCTAATAATCATACATTCGCCACCTTAATGTACATTGTACAGTACAGATCGCCCTCCGGGTTGACATCCCATCTCCGTCATAGATCCCCAACACTACTCTCTCTATACGAGTAGTGAGTGATTCTTGTGAGAGAGAGAGAGAGAGAGAGAGAGAGAGAGAGAGAGAGAAAAGAGTAACAGCACACACACAGAGAGGGAAGACCACCAACATCGATCAATCACACCTCCCATCCGCCGGCCCCGTCTTCCACCTCTCCAACCACTTGGAGCAATCGAACATGGGCTTCCCCAACTTGACATTAACATCATTGTGCGCGCGACAGAGCCACATGCCAAAGTCGTCCCTGCTCTTCGCCTGAGGTGGCTCCCTGGAGATGTAGCCCTTGAAGTCCTCGGCGCACACCCAGCATGGGTACAGCCGCGAGAAGAGGTGCACGAAGCTGACCAGGTCGGACTGCTGGGCAGGCGAGGGCGTCTTGGGGTACGACGCCGCGATGGAGTGCAGCAGGGTCCACGAGCTCCGTCCCAATTCCTCGACGTCGGGGGGGCATTCGGACCATGACGACTGGGCCGTCGTCGTAGCTGTCGTGGCCGACGTAGCTGCTGTCGCGGGAGGAGGAGCTTGCTGACCCTTGGCCTGTCGCGCCTGGGCTGCGAATGCTGAAAATGCGGATTTCGAAGTACAGCTCCGGCACCTGGACATGTCGCGAAGTCAGTCCCAAGCGTCAGCCAAATCCTTCCACTTCCCTCTTAAATCCCGGAACTCACGGCTTCCCGTCCTTGTCCAGGACCACCCCGTTGGGCAATCTCGTCATGCCACCTCCTATGGGGACACCGACGGGGGCAGGGGTGTCGGCTTCTCGTTCATTTGAATCCGTAGCCATGTTTGCAATATTCGATAAGAAGATGGAGAAAGATATTAAGATTCAGGCAATGTATATCAACAAAAGGAAAAAAAGAAAGAAAAGAAAGAAAAAATAATAATAAAGTCCCGAGTTGTAGACGGAGTGAAGAAATATCAATTTGTCAGCTCATCGCGGCTCTGCACGTAGAAGCCTCCCTCCCCGACCCCCCCCGACCAGTAAAAAAAGAAAACTTATCGATAAGGTCCGGTCAGCCATCGACCATGGCTCATCACATCACAACTCCACGTGGGGGAGGAAACCAAAAGATCAAGCAAATCGCAAGCTTCTTGGCACTTTTTTATTATCTCCTTCCTTTGCTGTTTTTTTCTTCTTCTATTTCTCATTCTTTATTTCCGATTTTTCTTTGTTCTTTGCTTTTTGTCTTATGGTATTATATAATATCTGGCTCTTATTCCATCTTTATTTCTACATCTTCGATTCTAGCCTCTACGAGCAAAATCTACGCCCACGATGCCAGACTCAGAGGAAAAAGTTCCCATCCTCCTCCTCAAGACCGAGTCCCACCCCGCCGACGCCTATGCCGATCTCTTCACGAGCGCAGGCTACATCCCTCTCTTCGTCCCCGTTCTGCAGCACCAGTTCAACCCCTCCGGTCTTGACAAGCTTCGGCGCATCCTCCGTCAAGGAGGCATATCACGCGACTACCACCCCTCAACCTCCTTCTCCTCCTCAGAATCATACGGCGGTCTCATATTCACATCCCAGCGCTCAGTCGAGGCTTTTGCCAAGGTCGTCGGCGAGGAGTCGCGACAAGACAAAGATGGAGGGACGATGGAGAAGCTAGCCCGCGTCCCCGTATATTCTGTCGGACCGGCGACCACACGCGCTTTGCGGGCCATAGACCCGCCCCTGCAGGTCTTTGGCGAGCACACCGGCAACGGCCAGGCCCTGGCGGATTACATGCTCGAGCACTACCATGGCTGGTACCCCCGTGATGGAGGGGGGGCAGATGATGAGGGGCAAGCAGAAGGAGGAGGGGTAGGCGTGAGAAGAAAAAAGATAGAAAAAGTGCCGGCCCTGCTGTTCCCCGTCGGCGAGCAGCGCAGGGACGTGATACCCCGCACTCTGATGGAGGAGACCACTCCGGACAGGCGGATACGCGTGGATGAGACGGTCGTGTATGGAACGGGGGTGATGGAGTCGTTCCCCGGAGACTTTGGCGACATCCTGCGCTCCACGGCTATCGCTCCGAGACGGTGGGTTGTCGTCTTTTCCCCCACCGGTTGCGACAGTATGCTTCGCGGGCTGGGGCTGTTGGATGATGGCGAAGATGCCAAGACGGGCACGGCGAGTGCGGCGACTCACCCGACCACGTATATTGTCACCATCGGACCTACGACGCAGGCTCATCTGCAGGCCTTGGGCTTCGAACCGCATGCTGTTGCTGGGAAGCCTTCGCCCGAGGGTGTCCTGGAGGCTATAAGAGAGTACGAGAAGACGTTGGCATAGCGCCTGCTCCTCTCTGCTTTGCTTTACAACGATTTGCATATTGTATATTGCATATACGATTCATGATATATGTTTCACTTCAAAACAAAGTAAGAAGAGGGAGGGGAAAGAAATCCCCCGGGTATCAACTATCAAAGCTGTTCATCTAATCTTGTTCTCTATCCCATCGAGGACAAAAAACAGGTGGTAATGTGGGGGAAAAAAAGACACTTGTATGTATGAACGGCGTAAAAGATAGATAGAGAAAGAGATAAGAGAAGAAGGGGGAAAAGAGAAGAGAGGGGCAAAAAGAAGAGCTCACGTGCCCATGACCCAAAGCTCAACCCCGATGATGTCAAACTTCTCCCCCTCATCACTAAGCGGCTCATTACCAAACGTCTCGCAGCGGGAAGAATGGCCGAGGCCGAGCGAGTCGTCCAGCCAGAGGCCGTAGTGTCCACCGCCGGACCCGACGCTCAGGAAGCCCGTCTCGCAGTTGATGTAGAAGTCGTTGAGGCCGCTGTAGGGGAAAGCCTTGAATCGGATGGTCTCGCTGGGGGAGGGGGAGTGTCGTTGCTGCTGATGGCCAGAGGCGGTAGGAGAAGAGGGGGGGTTCGTGGAGGATGTGGGCGGTCTGAGCATCGTGTTCCGCTGGAGGTTGTCCGTGTCAGCCGAGGGCGGTGGAGGCAGGGACGCCAGCGTGGATGCCCGCCACAGGAAGCACTCTCCGCTTCCGAAGAAGGCCGGCGAAGGGTGTGGGTATTCGGTTAGATAGGCGCCAAATGTCTTAACAGTTTTGGTATGTATGTGTGTGTGTGTGTATCAGTAAACAGTGTCTTCGGACGAGACGAGAGCTAATAAAGATGAAAGGAAGGGAAAGAAGAAGGGGAAAGGGGAGGAGGAGGAATAAAATAAACATACGGCTCCCTCTTGGTCCCTAACAACAAGGACGAACCCGACCCTGGACCCCTCGTACGCCTTGCACTTCTGATACAGCGTGGCCAGACTGGCTCCATCCTGCTCGAGACTGTAGATGAGGTGCCAGTCCTCGACGATGCGCAGCCTCTCGGGGATCATGGAGCGAATCTCTTCCGCGACCGCATGGCTGAGCAGCCGTGCCGAGTCGTCTGTATCGTCCCTGTACCCGTATAGCACGATGGGTTCCAGCGGTGGGGGGCGGAACGGGCTGGCCGTCCTCTTGACGGGGTTGAAGACGTCGTTTATCCCATCTTTTCCCTGCCTGGTCTGCTGCTGCTTGGTCTGTCCCTCCTCCTCCTGCTGCTGCTGCTGCCGCTGCTGCTGCTGTTGTTGTAGTCCGAATTGTCCGTCTTCGCTGGAGAATCGCCGTATCAGTCCCCACATGTTGAATAGATACGACGAGCTGCCTCTCTGGTCCGGTCCTGCGTTGCTGCTGCCGTTGGTATTGGTATTGGCGTAGTATGTCGGTGTTTGTCGTCCCGATGATGGTGCCGAGCTGCTGGGCGTGTAACTTTGGCTCATTGTCTGCTGCTCTTTCCTCTCTGGTCTTCCCAGAGCCAGGGGGAGGAGGGGCGGCAAAGTGGAGAGGGTGGGGAGGGGGGAGAAGGGAGGGGAGTGTGGGGATGTCTTTCGTAGTCTGCAGGACGTGGAAAGGGAGAGGAGGGGGTAGGGTAGGTTTGACGGGTAATATATGTGATAGATGGGCAAGATTGGGAAGACGTTTATGGGGGAGTGCTCGATGTTGATGTGTTGATGAGACAGGGCTGACGTCGTCGCTGCCACGAGTTCGGAGATACTAGTGGTAGCACTGCAGTAGTAATCAATATTAGTGGGCGGCATGTATCTGTAGGTATCATTAGTGTGCTGGGCTCTAGCAGTAAAGCAGAGAAGTAATACTATTATTATTACTCGTACGGGAAGTGAGACGTAATAAACATCGATACCCGCTCTCTCCCTATCTGATTCGCATGAGATGGTCCAAGTGTTTACGAGATCATTACATATTATACTACCCCGTCAACTCATTCAAAGCATCATTTACATAACAGTCAACGAAGACGGACTAATCAACTGACAGAAATGCTCGAGTCCGTTCCGTTGCGTTACGTTATCATGCTTCTCTTCGAGCTTCCCCTCATTCGGTTGGGATATCTTTTGCAGGAGGGAATCCCACGTAACGTCGTCTTGGCGCTTGATTTTGTAGATGTACTCTTCATGTATCAGTCTATAGCTTATAATAATACCGTGGTCTCTGCTAGTAGTATCATCTCAATGCATCATGTGAAGAGGAATCATGCCTCTTGGTGTCTAATCGGGGAATCTGGCATTCATTATACACACGCAACAGGCCATGTCTTGTTATAAAACTCGTTCGACACAAGAAAAGATAGGAAGAAAAAAGGAAATATGCGTGCGTTGCTCATGGCTAAATCTTGCAAATTAAGAAAAAACATGCCTTTCTCTCTACTACCATATTTCTTGTCCCCCCTCCCTTCTCTTCTTGTCCAATCATCGCATCACTTCCTGGTAGATGAGCTGCTTGAGCTGCTCTTTGCTCAGGCTATCCTTGTGCTTGTCAAAGTCGAAGAATTCCTCGGGAATGGGAGGGGCCGTGGGCTCATCATCGGGGTCGTGGTAGGGCTCGAGGTAAGGGTGCTTGAGGGCCTCGTCGACCGTGATGCGCTTGACGGGGTTGAAGGCCAGGAGCTTCTCCAGGAGATCGAGGGCCAGATCCGACGTCTTGGGGAACAGGGTGCGGAAGGGCACCTTCTTCTTGAAGGGTAGAGAGCGGATGTACTCACGGGCACGACGCGACTTGATGCCGTAATAGTCCTCCATGGTCGGGGTACCGAGAACGTCGAGGATTAGGGTCAACTGGTGGTGGTCTGTTTTTGCGTCGGGTCAGCGAACAGACTCAGGGGGCAGCGAACAGAGGTCGGGAAGCAGAGACCAGAGGGGAGAAGGAAGAGCAGTGAGAGGAGAAGAGGGGAGAGATCAACGTACAGTCCTTTCCGGGGAACAGGGGCTTCCCGCTGAGCATCTCGGCAAGGATACAACCGACGGACCAGACGTCAATGGCCTTTGTGTACTCCTTGAAAGTCAACATGATCTCGGGGGCACGGTACCATCGGGTGGCGACGTATTCCGTCATGAAGCCCGAGTTATCCTCTTGGGAAGCGGCGGATCGGGCGAGGCCAAAGTCGCAGACTTTGAGGTCGCAGTTTGCGTTGAGGAGGAGGTTGGAGGGCTTGAGGTCACGGTGGAGGACGTTTGCCGAGTGCATGGCCTTGATGGCTCGGAGGGTCTGGTAGATGAAGTACTGACAGTGGTCGTCGGAGAGGTCCTGGGTGCGGATGACGCGGTGCATGTCTGTCTCCATGAGTTCCTGGTCAAGGTTAGCATGTCTGGGTTTCCATAAGCGAAGCAGTGAAGACTGTTCCTAGACTCTTCCGAGTAGAGTCATTCCAAGAGACCTGACATATCTAAGAGGTTCGTCCGAGCAGAGGGGGAAGAGTATGTACCTGAATCAGATAGACTTCGTTAAACGAGTCATATGACCTAGGACGCTGGATGTCGAGGATAGAAATAATGTTTTCGTGGTTAAAGTAGCGTAGGAGCTTCATCTCTCGAAGGGTACGTAGGCAAAACATGGAGTGATCAAAGGGGGTAATCTTCTTGATGGCGACTTTTTGACCGGAAGGCTTGTGAATGGCGGAGCTGTTGTTTTGTTTCGTCGTGTCAGATGCCTATTCTTCGGTTCTTTCACTTCGATAGGTGAATCCAACTCACCAGACTACTCCGTAGGCACCCTCGCCGACAACGTCCTGAATATCATATTGTTCACTGACGTTGAAGGAGATTTTGCGAGAATTGGCAGCGTTGGGGGGGTTTGAACGCGACATGGCGAGGATTGTAGGAGGAGGAGGAGGAGGAGGAGAAGAAGAAGGAGAACGATCTGTACAGGGTCAGAGCTCAGTTTCCAAACGTCGGACAGCTACACGATTTTTTTTCCTCGGTCAGTATCTGTTTGAACAATATACAGAACACACACACGCGCGCGCGCGCGCGACTAGGCTCGGGGCGTGAGGAGTGGAGGGAAAGCAATCGAGAAAGCTTCAAGGCGGGGTAGCTCAAAGCTCGGATCAAAAGAGAGCCAGGAATGTGGAAGACGCAAGAGAGAACAAGAGAGAACGGGAAGACACATACCTTGTGACAGGAGCTGTAGAATGGGAGAAAGAGAAGAAGGAGCGAGACAGTGAAGAAGGATCGAGTTGATATGCCGCAAGAGGCGGGAAAAATAAAGAAGGAGTTGCTAAGATGAAGGAAAGAGGAGATATTGGAAATGCCGGAGGAGGAGGAGTGAGGGGCGTAGTGGCAGGGATGATGTTCGGTGTGCTGTAGTAGTGACCTGTAACGCGTCCGTGATGGCCCGTAGCTGGTGGTGATATAGTGGGGTGAATGGCCTGAAGCAGCGCTATATCCTTTTCCGCTCGTGATGCTTCCCGGGCCTATGGTAGGTACGAGCACAGGTATTGCTCCGTAGTGTCGTCGATAGTTGGGGGGCCAGATAATGATGACTTATCCGTCCGTGTCTGTAGTAATAGTAGTCAATGACTCGGTTCAATCCTTCTATTCATTCTCACCAAGGGAAAAACTTTCTCTTTAAACCATCCACCTCTCATCCTCTCACCCTCGTACAACTCAACCACCGTCAAACCCGAAACCGCCTCCCCGCCTTCAGTCCTGCCTTCATCTCGGCGTCTCAGCCTCGCAGGGGGGGGAGAGGGGGAGCATCGCTCATGTGCCATGGCCCATCACCCCATGGCCCATGGCCCATGTGCCATCACTTACGGGCCGCCCAACTCTGGCCCCTCTCCTCCTCATGTACGGTCAGTACGGAAACGTCGTCGTACATGTACACCTACTACTTACAAGCTACTGCGTTACTTAGTCCCAGCAATACTGCTAGACCAAACCCCGCTCAACTCGTCTCGCCTTCGTCTCATCACCTTCGAAACAAGCACCGTCAGTCCCATCCAACGCGAAGCAGTCTTTTTCTTCTTCTCTTCTTTTTCGATCCTATCCTTTCTCTCTCTCCGTCACTCACACTCCCCTTCTAAATTCTTCCTCCCCTTCCCCTTCTCCTTTCTCCTTCATCTCTCTATCTCTCTCTCTATCGCTTTCATCCCCTTTCCGCTCGTCGTCAAAAAACATCATACAGACTTCCCTCGTCCAGACAACCAAGACAACCCCTGCCCATCTCGGCGCCTACATCCCACCTCGCACCATCCCCCCATTGGCTCGTCATCCCGCTCCTCTCGTCCTATCACGCTGCTCAGGCTCGCACTTGCTCATCCCGTAAAGCAGCTCTGCTCTGCTTCTCCTCTTTCCTCGACATTTGGGGGAAACGTTTCTCCCTGTACGCTTGTACGTATGTACGTACTTACTATTAAATGCTCACTTGTCTTGGGCTGAATGCCTCCGGCGGCCCTTGTCAAGAGGGGCTATCCTCAATCCGCTCGTAATTGTCATTATATCATTATAGCCTACTCACTTAAAAGGTCCTAATGTCAAAAAAAAAATAAGAATTATAATTCATTTTTAGCATCGCGAGTGCCAGGCTATCCCCCTACTTTTTTTCTCATCTTCTTTCTTTTGATTCATTTGCTTGCAGAGCTCCCAAGGCATCATGTGATTGAATTTTTTTTTTTAAATAATTTCTTTTTGCCCCCTTCCATCTTTATATAATCTACTGCACAACCTATGCAACATACAAACGTCAGTAAGAGTCAATGGGCATGGCAAGAAGAAGAAGAAGAAGAAGAAGAAACCGTGGAGACAAGGGAGAAAGAACAAAAGAAAAGAGCAAAAGGATAAGATGGAATTTCATACCTTCTCCCTCAATGTACTGAGCCACTGCGCCGCGCTGACGCTCTGATCCGTCCTGTCCTCTACGAGCAGCGTCTGCGCCCAGATCCTGAGACTCGGCTCCCCATCTTCGAGGACGATGTATAGGTGCGGCACCGTGATGCTCCCCACCCCGAGGGCCAGGTGGTCCCTGCTCTTCTGGACGACGGCCCTGACGCGCTCGTTGAAGTCGCCCTCCAGCTCGGGCACGCGGCCCTTGCCGACGGGCAGCTGCGACTTGTCCGGCACGCCAAAGACGTCGTTGAGCAGCTGCGGCACCGCGTCCCGCCCGACCCAGAGAAACTGCGTCTGCCCATCGTCGATCAGGTACAGGCCGTACGGCGCCAGGCGCTCCGACGACAGGTTCACCGGCGGCGGGAGCACGATGTGGCCCGTCTCCGGGTCCGGCAGCCCCGCACTGTCCGGCATGTCGTGAAGCGAGTACAGGCGCGGGTAGATGTAGCGTATCAGCAGCGGCGGCGGAAGCGTCGACAGCAGGCACAGCGCTGCCGACCGGATGTCCGACGGGATCTGCGCCGACTTGCGCAGCCCGACGTTCTTGGTCAGAGAGAGGAACAGCAACGGCAGCCCGCGCAGGTTGGCCGGGAACTGGAGCCCGCCGCCGCCCATGCTGCCGCCCGCCAGCTCCTTCTTGAAGACCTGCAGGAGCTCCGTGGCCTTGGACTGCACGGCGTCGCGCGCCGCATCCAGCCCGCTGCCCAGCGCGCGCTCCACGGCCTTGTGGCTGAAGTAGGTCGTGATGGCCACCTGGTCGGCCGACGAGTACAGGTCCGACAGGTTAGACGTGGTCGGCAGGGCCAGCGTCATGACGCGGATGCGCCGCTCGCCGTTGCAAGTCGTGTGCAGCACCGCCGCCTGCAGGCAGACGACGGGCTTGGTCATGTTCTCGTCGATGGCCACCTCGACCACGTAGCACTGGTCGCGCGGGAAGGACGGGAAGGCGCACAGGTCCGAGCTGCGGTTGAAGAAGTTGCCGTAGAAGGTGTTCATCCGCAGCCCAGTCGCCCCGCGCACCCTGAGCACCGCCTCGAGCCCGACCTCGGACGAGAGGAAGTCGCTGAATTCGGAGGCGAACTTGAGCGCATCTTCGGGCCGGGACGCGTGCCACCCCGGGTAGAACCATGTCTGGCCCGCCGTGTACCGCGGCAGGTTGCTCAGCGACGCCACGTCCTGGTACTGCTGCGAGAAGAGGAACATGTCGATGGACACCTGGTTCTTGGAGCACTCGACCGCGAAGCTCTTGTAGAAGCTGTTGGCCGTCTGCAGCAGCGGGCCTTCCTTGGCCGTGCCCAGCAGCTTCTTGTCCTCGCGCACCTCGAGCTTGCCGACGCCGATGTTGGGCAGCGACGCCGTCAGCACGACGATCTTGCCGCCCAGGCCGGAAATGAGCTTGTGTCCGGCCCGCAGCGCCGACCCCATGCACGATTGACTGCTCTGGCTGTTCTGAAACATGGCCGGCAGCTTCTCCAGGAACCTCTCGGCGCTCTGCCGACTCTCGGACAGGTTGATCAGCAGGTCGTGGGGCACGGGCAGGAAGGGCTCGTCGAGGTCGCTGACGACCAGCTGGCTCGTCTCGGCGTTCTCGTCCTCGTCCTTGGGGATGGAGAAGTAATGCAGGCTCGAGTCGACGCCGAGGAAGCCGAGGCGCGTGCGCCTGTCGGCGTTTGGTATCCTGCTCAGGCTGTCAAGGATGGTGCGGGCGGCCGTGGCCAGCAGGCCGGACGACACGGCGTTGATGCTGACGTCGAACAGGAACAGGTAGACGAGGGGCTGCGGCGGGCGCACCATGTACTCCTGAGGTGCGACGAACTCGACGATGGCGTGGTTGAGCTCGGCGCGCTGCCAGCGGTCGGCCTGCTGCTGCGTCGCCGCGTCCCAGTCGAAGGCCTGGGGCACGTCATTGCTCAGGTTGCACATGTTGCACCTCCAGCGGTGGCCGTGGTCGAGGAAGGTCACGTAGGGGTTGATGTAGGTGCGGCACCGGCGGCAGCGCGAGATGACCTGGTCCTGGATGACGGGGATGTCGTCTTCATCGTCGTGGAGCGACCCGTAGGGCTGCAGCACCAGAGCAAAGGGAAGCTTGGACTTTTTGAGCTGCGAGTGCGACGTAGGCACGGCGTTGATTGTCGACCGGAAATAGCGAGGCGAGGCGTTGGCCTTGGGCGAAGGCGTGACGCTGGACTATACACGGGCACGCGGACAGGCACACATGGTTAGCGGACTCTGCACCATCTCTTCCCGCTGCACTCTTTCCCTCTCTCTCTGCTTCTCTTGTGGGGCTGTACTCTGGACTTACGTTGGGCGGCAGGGTGATGGGAGGAGGGGGGAGGTCGAGCTCGGCGGCGTTGAAAGGCTGGCTGACGAGATCGGTAGGGTAGAGTTGATTCATGACCGCGCGAGGGGCAGCCTGGGCCTGGGCGGGGACGGCCTGAGGCTGAGCGGTGCCGAGGTTCATGCCGCCCATGCCCTGGGTGATTCCGCCGACACCGGGAGCGACGCCGGGGTACACCTGGTCGGGGGGAGGGTAGGTGCCGTAGGGGGCGGCGACCGGCTGGCCGACCTGGGGGACCTGTCCGGGAGGCTGGTAACCGGCGGCGGCGACGGGGTCGGGCTGCTGCTGCTGCTGAGGGTAGGCTCCGTAGGCGGGGACCTGCTGCTGGGACATGCCGAACTGGGGGGTCACAGCGGAGGGGGGGACGGCAGCGGGAGTGCCGGCTGCATTGGCGCCCGAGGCCACGTCGAAGGCGCCGGCGGCGTACCCTCTCTTCTTCTTCTTGGCGTGGGCGGCGGCGCCGGTGGCCATGGGGTCGGGCGTCCCCTGCGTCTCGGGGGCCTGATCGCCGCCATAGGCCGGATACTGGCCGTATCCTTCCGGGGGAGGAGGAGCCGACATTGTGGCGATGTGGTGGTGAGGGATATGCGCCGACGATGTAGATGGGGTTGTTGTTGTTGGTTGTTGGTTTCGTTTCCTCCCCAAGGGGAAATCTAGAGATATTATATTACCAACTGGTAATAGGGTAGTAACGGCACAACCTCTTCCGTTCGCCTCTCCTCGATTCCAACGAGGATGCGCCCGAGAGAAGAAGAAGAGAAAACACGAGATGGAAAAAGGAAAAAAAGAAAAAAAGAGATGACACGATAGAGACCAAGTCTAGGACGAGAGGGGGGGGGTGGGAGCCGAGAAAGGGAAGGAGGAGGAGGTTCAATCAAAGGTGGGAGAGAAAGCTCTCTTGTCGAATTCAAAGCTACGGTGCACTCTTTTGGTTGTGGTCTGGTTGTGTACGTCTGGCCTCTTCGTCACCGCTCTGGGCTCTGGGCGAACGGCTTTTGGGGGGGGGGGGGAAGGAGGGGAGCGAGGGCGATACATGTGATTGTCAGTGATTTTGGTGGAGGGCACGTGTATCTCGCTATCAGTGGGGCTGGCAGTATTCGCCTACTTGTACTCGTAGGAGGGCGGGGGCTTCATTGTTCACCAGCTAGCAATCCGTACATGCACTCGTAGTGATAGAGTAATAATAAAGAATAGTGCTCAAATAGACTGTATGACTGAACTGTACCCGTACCCGTACAGGTATTATCAGTTAGGCTACGGGGCTCGGGCTAATACGGGACTCCATCGTACTGTTGCTGGGTGCTAGTACATACTAAATGCATACTAAATACATACCGCCTGTACTCCGTAGTCCCCTCCTGATCGCTGAGTGTTGTTTGGTGCTACTGTACAGATTATTACCTGTCCGCCACGGCCACTGTATGTATCGATGCCTACATTATTATGGAGTTGTACAAGCCACTAATACTGTACCGATGGTCATGACACTACTACTGTCTCCCCCCCCCCCCCCCCCAATACACCCACCCATACACCCAGTAGTTGCAACCTGTGCCTGTAGATGCCTTCTACTACTATCTGTGCTGCTTCCTCTACAGGCGTATTCCAAGAATGACGAGACATGACTCACGGTGTCCACGACATCTCTACTGTACAATCAAGACAACGACAAAAAGGTTGAATGGTATGAGTTATAGAAGGGGGCGGGGGCGGGGAGGGCAGCTGCCACCAGCTGTCAACCATGAAACCCCCCCCCCACGGTATCCTCCCTGCCAATTGCTGCGCACCATTAGCACAGGCTTAACATAGGATGAATCATGGAAAGACTGTAGATTATGGGATTGAATACAGATAAACCGGCCTCACAGCGTATTGGAAACATTCAGAGTGCAGAGGGACTGAGAGAAAAAAGAAAGAAACTCGTTCCATAAACTTCTAAACCCCAAAACAAGATCGGAAGAAGAGGAGAAATAAGCCCTCCGACAGATTCTGCAAAGACTGACGGCTCACCACCACTCGACGGCGCACGATGGCACCTCTGACAATTGCCGACATCATCGTGGATACCTGCTCGTACCACCGACGCGACTTTGACATGGCCCTCATACGATCGCCACCGCACGAGACGAGCCCGGTCCAGCCCTCGCTCTACACGGCCTTTGACAACCCGCCAGCTTCGGACATGGGCCTTCTCGGCCGCCTCCCCCTAGAGCTCTTCTGGGTGGTACTGGGACAGGTCGACGTGCAGTCGCACTTTCGCCTCCGGCACGTCAACAGGCAGGCGCGGGCTGCGGTGACGGCCATGTCCGAGTACCGGTGCGTGGCCCAGCACGGACACGAGGGGCTGCGCGGGGCGTTCCGCACGGGGGTGGCGTCCGTGCTGGGCATGACGGACCTGTACGCGGCGCTGGTGCGCGAGCGCTGCCATCTGTGCGGCCTGTTCGGCGGGTTCCTGTACATACCGTCGGCCGCGCGCTGCTGCTTCGTGTGCATAGAGCGACACCCCGACCTGCGCGTCATGGCCACGTCCAGCTTTGCCAGGGCCGTGGCCCTGACGACCGGCCAGCTCGTCCGGGAGCTGGGACCCTGCGGGGGTCTGCGCACCGTTCCCGGAACGTACGACCTGGCTGCGCTGCCGTCCCGTCGGCCCAGGGCGCTCCTGCCCGTCAACCCCGCCATCAGATGCCTAGTGTCGCGCCGTCTCATGGACCGCAGCGAGATCGCACCCCTCCTGAAGCGCACTGAGATCGCCAACCAGCGCTTCATGGTGTCCACGGCCTTTCCCTGGTACGATCCCGTCACGGGCCGGCCAGAGAGCGGCGTGAGCTGCAAGGCCTGCGTCGGCCGCATACAGGCGAGGGAGGATGACAGGTACCACCACCGTCGCGTCTTCACCAGGGCCGGTTTCCTCGAGCACTTTGAACGCTGCCGGGATGCCCAGTGTCTGTGGAATCAGACGTGCCGGTTGCGCTGAGGCCTGCTCTGCCGCGTCCGGAGGGTATGGTCCGGTGGCATTCTGTGTGTTGTCAGTGCGGCGCTCCAGGGATGCATCTCAGAGTCTGTCTGCCGATGATGGGAGGCTCCTTCTTCTAGGCGGCGCGCAATGCGAGGGCCAAGTCAAGTCGTCTGTCTCCGTGATCTGATTAGAATTTTTGATGACTATCGTGTGTGTGTCGATGACCAGACATTGTGAAGGGAAAGCTGACGGAAAAGACTTGGTCTGACGAAGGGTTAACATGTATAAGAGGGGGAAGGGGGTACTATTATTAACACGGATAAAGGCAATCTGTAATCTGTACAGGTAGCGATAATAAGTAAATAATGCATGTACAACATATCATGTACGAGTGAGTAGTATTACGAGGTTGAGGTACGACCGTGCTGATCACGTGCACGCCCCATACTCGAATGGTAGCGTCGCTCTAATGCATAACACCCTGAAATGGCATGAACCCCTTTTGCTGTAGGATCACACGTGATAGAACAGCCGCGAATCCCTCATCACCTGTCACAACCCAGCAAGGAGATCTGATTATGGAAAAAAAATTGAAAAAAAATCCTTACCTCCGAAAAGTGACCTTGGTACCTGTACGAGTACAGAGTACCCGTAGATACCAGGGTATCACCCTACCCATACATGTAGCATCTACCCGTACATATATTACAGATTATCATATTACCATAGGCCCATAGGCTACTAACAATATGTCTGCCGCATCCAGCAGCCTCTTGAGCTCCGGCTGTGTTGAGCCCTTCCCAAGGCGGGGCTACCAGATGCGGAAACTGGGGCGCATCTACTCTGCTCAGCAGCTCAGCTCAAGTCACCTCGGTGCGACCGAAAGGGGGAGAGGAGGGGAGGGCCTCCAAGTTTTGGTGCTTGTGTGTTTCTGAACCATTACTATTAGTACCTGTACTTAAACTTGTAGTGATATTACCTACCACCTTTCATCCCACTCACTCTCCTCCTCCTCCTCTTCCATCTTTCCCAATCCCATCACCCTCTTCCCAATCACCCAGCACTGACCACCAGCCCACCAAGTCTTCATCATGGCTTCCACAATCGTGTAGGCATATCCTCTCTATCCTATACAGTCTCCCACGGTGCATGTCATATGTCATATACTAACGTTACCCCCC